CACAACAGATACCCTGGGGCTGAGAGAGCTCTCTCGAGGACTGCTCTTGAGAGGACAGCTTTGAGAGAACTTGTGACTGACCCAAGGTCACCCCAGCAGCTGCATGTGGAGGAGTGGGGAATCAAACCTGGTTCTCCCAGATTAGAGTTCGTGCTCCTCAGCACTACATTAAACTGGCTACTGGACTCGAGTCTAACTGTTCTACCACCCCAGAATGAACTTGGCCAGATTTGACTGTAGCCATTTCTAAGCTGGTACCAAATGAGAATACCTTTAGAGTGCCAGAAGAAGAATTTATAAAATAGAAGCGTTGTTCCCCTCCCCTTAAGTGACCAGCATCAGTATGTGTCATGATGTGTCCTAGTAAAAATTTTTTTTTGGTGTGGACTAGTAACTAGTAACCAAGAGTGATCCCCCTGGAGAAGGAAATGGCAACCCACTTCAGTATTTTTGCCAAGAAAACTCCATGGACAGTATCAAAAGGCTAAAAGATATGACGCCGGAAGACGAGCCCCTCAGGTCGGAAGGTGTCCAATATGCTACTGAGGAAGAGCAGAGGGCAAGTACAAGTAGCCCCAGAAAGAGTGAAGCGGCTGGGCCAAAGCCGAAAGGACGCTCAGTTGTGGATGTGTCTGATGGTGAAAGGAAAGTCCGATGCTGCAAAGAACAATACTACATAGGAACCTGGAATGTAAGATCTATGAATCAAGGTAAGCTTGATGTGGTCAAAAATGAGATGGCAAGACTGAACATCGATATCTTAGGAATCAGTGAACTAAAGTGGACAGGAATGGGCGAATTTAACTCAGAAGACCATTATATCTACTACTGTGGCCAGGAATCTCGTAGAAAAAATGGTGTGGCCTTTATAGTCAACAAGAGAGTGCAAAAGTCAGTACTGGGATACAGTCTCAAAAATGACAGAATGATTTTGGTCCGATTCCAAGGCAAACCATTCAACATCACAGTAATCCAAGTCTATGCCCCAACCACTGATGCAGAAGAGGCTGAAGTGGACCGGTTCTATGAAGACCTACAACACCTCCTAGAACTAACACCAAAAAATGATGTCCTCATCATCATAGGGGACTGGAATGCTAAAGTAGGAAGTCAAAAGGTAACCGGAATAACAGACAAGTTTGGCCTTGGAAAGCAAAATGAAGCAGGGCAAAGGTTAACAGAGTTTTGTCAAGAGAACACACTGGTCATAGCGAACACCCTTTTCCAACAACCTAAGAGGCGACTCTACACATGGACATCACCAGATGGGCAACACCGAAATCAGATTGACTATATAATTTGCAGTCAAAGATGGAGAAGCTCTATCCAGTCAGTAAAAACAAGACCTGGAGCTGACTGTGGTTCAGATCATGAGCTACTCATTGCAAAATTCAGACTTAAACTGAAGAAAATTGGGAAAACCACGAGGCCATTCAGGTTTGACCTAGATCGCATCCCTGATGAATATACAGTAGAGGTGAAGAATAGATTCAAGGGTCTGGATTTGATAGATAGAGTGCCTGAAGAACTATGGACAGAGGTTCGTGACATCGTACAGGAGGCAGCAATCACCACCATACCAAAGAAAAAGAAATGCAAGAAAGCAAAGTGGCTTTCTGATGAGGCTTTACAAATAGCAGAGGAAAGAAGGAAAGCGAAAGGCAAAGGCGAAAAGGAAAGATTTACCCAACTGAACGCAGATTTCCAGAGAACAGCAAGGAGAGATAAGGAGGCCTTCCTGAATGAACAGTGCAAAGTAATAGAAGAAAACAATAGAATGGGAAGGACTAGAGATCTCTTCAAGAAAATTGGAGAAATCAAGGGAGCGTTCCATGCAAAGCTGGCCATGATAAAGGACAAAAACGGTAGGGACCTAACAGAAGCAGAAGAGATTAGGAAAAGATGGCAAGAATACACAGAAGAACTATACAAGAAAGACCTCAATGTCCTTGACAAACACGACGGTATAATCACTGACCTTGAGCCAGACATCCTGGAATGTGAAGTTAAATGGGCCTTAGAAAGCATTGCTAACAACAAAGCTAGTGGAGGTGATGGTATTCCAGCTGAGCTATTCAAAGTCTTAGAAGATGATGCTGTTAAAGTGCTGCACTCCATTTGCCAGCAAATTTGGAAAACGCAACAGTGGCCACAGGATTGGAAAAGATCAGTATACATTCCAATCCCAAAGAAGGGCAATGCCAAGGAATGTTCAAACTATCGCACAATTGCACTCATATCACACGCTAGCAAGGTCATGCTCAAGATCCTACAAGCTAGGCTTCAACAGTACGTGGATAGAGAACTACCAGAAGTACAAGCTGGGTTTCGAAGAGGTAGAGGAACGAGAGATCATATTGCCAACATTCGCTGGATTATGGAGAAAGCAAGAGAGTACCAGAAAAATATCTACTTCTGCTTCATTGACTATGCTAAAGCCTTTGACTGTGTGGATCACAACAAACTATGGCAGGTCCTTAAAGAGATGGGAGTACCAGACCACCTCACATGTCTCTTGAGAAACCTGTATAAGGGCCAAGAAGCGACAGTTAGAACCGGATACGGAACAACTGATTGGTTCAGCATAGGAAAAGGAGTACGACAAGGATGTATACTGTCACCTTGCTTATTTAATATATATGCAGAGTACATCATGCGAAATGCTGGCCTGGATGAATCACAAGCGGGAATTAAGATTGCTGGGGAAAAGATCAACAACCTCAGATATGCAGATGATACCACTCTAATGGCTGAAAGTGAAAAGGATCTAAAGAGCCTCTTGCTCAGAGTAAAAGAGGAGAGCGCAAAAGTGGGCTTGAAGCTCAACATCAAAAAAACTAAGATCATGGCATCCGGCCCCATCACTCCTTGGCAAATAGAAGGGGAAGCTGTGGAAGTAGTGACAGACTTCACGTTCCTGGGATCCCAGATCACCGCAGACTGTGACTGCAGCCATGAAATTAAAAGACGCCTGCTCCTTGGGAGGAAAGCGATGGCGAACCTAAACAGCATGATAAAAAGTAGAGACATCACCCTGCCAACAAAAGTCCGCATGGTCAAAGCAATGGTATTCCCAGTAGTCATGTATGGCTGCGAGAGCTGGACTATAAGGAAGGCCGAGCGCCGAAGAATAGATTCTTTTGAACTATGGTGCTGGAGAAGACTCTTGAGAGTCCCTTGGACTGCAAGAAGAACAAATCAGTCAATCCTCAAAGAAATCAACCCTGACTGTTCCCTGGAAGGCCAGATAATGAAACTGAAGCTCAAATACTTTGGCCACCAAATGAGAAGGGAGCACTCACTGGAGAAGACCCTGATGCTGGGAAAGATTGAAGGTCAAAGAAGACGGGGACGGCAAAGGATGAGATGGTTAGACAGTGTCATCACTGTTCCCAAGCGGTGCAATCACTTTTACATCTCTCACCAGGTCTTGAGTGTTACTTAGGACCAAATCAAGGATCGCCTCTCCCCTGGTAGGTTCCATGACCATCTGCTCCATAGCACAGTCATTTAGAGTGTCTAGAAACTCAATCTCTTTCTCTCGACTAGAACACATATTGACCCAATCAATGTGTGGGTAGTTAAAATCACCTATTACGACACAGTGTTTTTGTCTAGCTGCTATCTTTAATTCATTCATCATTTTATAATCCTCCTCTATCTTTTGATCTGGTGGGCGATAACAAACTCCCAGTGTTAAGTTTCCTTTTGGCCCCCCTACTTCAACCCACAGAACTTCCAGAAGCGAATCCAATTCTCTTAGCCTCTCAATCTTTCTGGACTTTATACCCTCTCTGACATACAGAGCCACCCCACCTCCTTTTGTCTTTTCTAGATTTAAAGTCATTCTGTTACTCTATTTTTTCAATTTTTCCAATTTTCTGGGAAAAAACAAAAAAGGCTTCAGGAAAAAATGGAAAAAACCCATTTCTCCCCCGAATTTTTCCAGTTTTTTTCCAGGCCTTCACATCTCTACGGGGACGGCAAAGGATGAGATGGTTAGACAATGTCATAGATGCAACAAACATGAAATTGAGCAAACTTCAGAGGACGGTGGAAGACCGGAAGGCCTGTCTAGATCTGGTCCATGGGGTCGCGAAGAGTCGGACTCAACTGTGTGACTGAACAACAACATCAAATCAAACCTGAATTCTCCCTAGAAGCAAAAATGACTAAACTGAAGCTATCATACCTTGTTACATTATGAGTAGACAAAGAGTCGCTGGAAAAGACAATAATGCTAGGAAAAGTGGAAGGCAGCAAGAAAAGAGGAAGACCCAACAGGAGATGCGTCGATTCAATCAAGGAAGCCGCGGCCCTAAGCAAGGCTCTTACAAGCAGGATGTTTTGGAGGCCATTCGTTCATAGGATTCGGAAGCAACTTGGCAGCACTTAACACGCACACACACTTTTGCTCCGGTTTTAATTGTTTTACTGTGTTTCTGTTGGTTTTAATGGTTTTTAAGATGAGATTCTATTTTGTATGTTTTTGTTAGCCACCCTGGTAGCCCTTACCAGGACAGAAGAGCAGAGTAACCATTTTGTAACGGAACGAACGAATAAATAAATAAAGCCAATCTTTACACAAGACAGACCTGTGGTGTATCCACAGGCTTCATAGCCATCTTCACCGAACAAAAATGTCACTCCAGCCCTGTGATTCCCGCTTTTCTCCCAGACTAGCCCCAGTTGTCAAATGACACAATGATGGAAGCACACAGGAACATCAGAAGGGCCCTGCGGGATCAGACCAGCGGTCTATCCAGTCGAGCATCCTGTCTCACACCGTGGCCAACCAGTTCCTCTGGATGGCCAGCAACAAGCATCGCTTAATGACCATACTGCAAACTCTGCGGCCTAAAGTTACACACAGAGAAAAACACACATACAGAGATCGTCCTTGGGAGGCCAAGCAGGCACAGTTAAGAGAGCCATTTGCCTTTTTGGGGGGTGCAACACGTCCCTTGCCCCCCTCCCGCCCCCTCCCACCACGGACCTACCTCCTCTAACTCATCCTTGGCATCCAAGCTGGTGTAGATCAGCAATTTCCCTCCTCCTCCTCCTCCTCCACCTGCTGTAGCTGCTGCTGCTGCGGCTCCCCCTTTGCCTTTCTGCATCTCCATAGTAGGCTGGGGGGTGAGAGAGAAGCACCCCCCCTTTCTCCCTCACCACACTCGCTTCACCAGTGGCAGAAGGGGGGGTGAGGTCTATGGGGAAGCCCCACACTCACCCCCCTGCAGCTTCCTCAGCCGCTGCCTATGGGGAGTGGGGGGCAAATCTAGTGGGGTGGGAGGGTGAAAAAAGCAAGGGTGGGGATTCCTCCTCCCCCTTTAAGCTCCCTGCCTTTCCCCTTCCTTAAGAGATGTGTGCCTATAGCTACACCTCACTGTATTTAAGGGGAGCACCTTTTTTGGAGGGGGGATACTTAAATCTCCCCTCTCTTGCTCTTTCCGGGGGGGGGGGAGATCCCTTCAGTTCCTAGTTTGGGGGGGCCATGATTGACAAACCGAGGAAGATTAAGGGAAGAAGGGAATACTTGAATGAGATATGTTGGGGGGCCCTCCTGGCATGGAGGGGCGGGGCTCAAGGAGTAGGGGGCTTCCAGGGCGGGGCTGTAGCCCCAGGGGGCGGGGCTTGGGGCAGATAAGGGAGAGGGGATTCTCTCGTGTAGTCGTGTCTATCTGGCTTCCACCCCCTTCCTGGAACAGATAAGGGGGGGATATGTATAGATATATAAAGGGGGGGGTGTCTGCACTGGTGGGGGGGTAGGGAGGGGGAGCGTGCGCCTCCTCGCCCCCTACCCAGCCAGCCGGGCAGACCGGAAGTCAGTGGTTGAGATGAGCGAGTGTGTGAGGGAACGGGCGAGGAAGAAGCCGAGCCGCGCGCAGCCGGAAGAGCCCGCCTCCTTTCTGGACTCCGCCTCCTGCCGCCGAGGCGGCCTCTCAGAGCTCCGGGAGAGGGATGAGTGACAGGGGCCGTCCCGCCGGGCCAATCATCAGAGGCCGAGGGAGGGAGGGGGGGGAAGCTGCGAGGCCAACCAAACGGCTGCGGCTTTGGGCCTGAGGCGGGGTTTTTGCCTCTCGGGGGCGCGCGGGGAAGGGCGAGCACGAGCGCAAGGCAGAAGGGGAGGGAGGGGGAGCGAGAGAGCTGCGCACGCGCAGGTTGACGCGCGCCTCTGTTTCTCGCGCGCATGCGCTAGCATTCGTGTTCCCTCAAAGTGGCTGAATGATGTTGGGGGCGGCGAAGCGCAGTCCTGTCAGGGGGACGGAGGGTCCTCGTTTATTCAGGAGTAAACCCTTTGCTTTACATTTGGAGTTACACGTAGTAACTGAGGATACCAAAGGATGATTCCCCCGCTTGAGTTTTATGCGAATCTATAGAAGCAGCACTTGCAGGAACAGTGTTGTGTGCACACACAAAAAAGGGTGCTTCCACACACACTAAATAACCACTTTCAGTGCACTCTGCAACTGGAGTTTACTGGGTGAAAGGGCAAAACCCACTTGCAAATGGCTGCTGAAGTGGATTGAAATTGCATTATTTAGCAAATGTGAAAGCCGCAGTGGCTCAGAGGTGAAGACGAAGGTCGGTAGCTCAGCAGTTCGAGACCCGAGGGCCGCATGGCGGAGTGAGCTCCCCTCTCTGGCCCCAGCTCCTGCCAAACTAGCAGTTCGAAAGCAAGAAATTGCAAGTAGATAAATAGGTACCACTTCGGTGGGAAGGGAACAGCGTTCCGTGCGCCTCGGTGTCTAGTCATGCCGGCCACATGACCACGGAAACGTCTTCGGACAGCGCTGGCTCTTGGGCTTGGAAACGGAGATGAGCACCGCAACCCTAGAGTCGGATTCGACTGGCTCTTGTGTTGTTGTTCAGTCACACAGTCAAGTCCAACTCTTTGTGACCCCATGGACCACATCACGACAGGCCCTCCTGTCTTCCGTCCTTCTCCGGAGTTTGCTCAATTTCAGGTCCATTGCCTTGTCTAACCCTCTCATCCTTTGCCGTCCCCGTCTTCTTTGACCTTCGATCTTTCCCAGCATCAGGGTCTTCTCCAGTGAGTGCTCCCTTCTCATTGGGTGGCCAAAGTAGTTGAGCTTCAGTTTCATTATCTGGCCTTCCAGGGAACAGTCAGCGTTGATTTCTTCTAGGATTGACTGATTTGATCTCCTTGCAGTCCAGGGGACTATCTATCTATCTAACAAACCAAAAATTGCAAATTAAAATAAAAGAGTACCTTAGCCCACATTGTTGGGGGGGGCAAGACAAGCTCTCCCTCAGGGAACGACTGGCAGGGCGCCCGGTTTTTGTGTCGCCTCAGCTGTTTCTTGTGAAGGACTGAAAAGTCTCATAAAGAACCATGAGGCCTTACGAGCAATTATGCTAAACAGGGCTCTCTCTTTTTTGGAAAAAGAGGTGCCGGAACTCTCAAGAGGGAAATTAAATTTTCAGTTTGGATACTGAAAACTCATGAACTTTTACATTTTGTTGAAGAGGTCCCGGAACTCCGTTGCAGCCCGTTCCCCCATTTAAAAAGAGCCCTGACTGAATAACACATTTTCATTCCCCTCAGCAGCCGTTTGCAAGTGGATTTTGCCATTTCATACAGCAAAATCCACTTGCAACATGCATTGAACATGGATTGAGAGGGCAATATCTAGTGTGTGTGTGAAAGGGTGCCGCAGAAGTGAAACTGAATACAAAGTATGACTGTGGCATTATCAAGTATGCACAGTGCCCCACAGAAACTCCCACTGGCAGTACAGACATTTGATAGGTGAGGGTTACCAGATGTTCCCTTTTTAGAGGACATGTGCTCTCTGTTTTGGTGTCTGTCCTCTTTTGGGCTCTTTTTCAAAAAAAGAACATGAAAATGTCCTCTTGGGGGTTGGAAGGTCAGGAATATTCCTAGTTAGTAGCAATTCTCATAGCTTAAATAGGAGGGGTATTTAAAACGAGATTTGTCATAGCAATCACTTGTTTGAAGTAATCGGGAAATACGTCCTCTCAGGGCTTTTTTGGTAGAAAAAGCCCAGCAGGAACTCATTAGCATAATAGGCCACACCCAATAGCAGAAACTCATTAGCATATTAGGCCACGCCCCTGACAGCACAGCCCATTAGCATATTAGGCCGCACCCACATGTTACCAGAAGTGAGGTCATCCAGCCACACCCACCTTTTGCTTCTTATTCTGTTTACCTTGTTTGTAAAACCCAGGGCTTTTTTTGGAGCAAGAACTTCTTTGCATGTTAGGCCACACACCCCTAATGTAGCCAATCCTAATGAGTTTCTGCTGTTGGGTGTGGCCTGTTATGCTAATGACTTCCGGCTGGGAGCAAGAACTTTTTTGGAGCAAGAACTTCTTTGCATGTTAGGCCACACACCCCTAATGTAGCCAATCCTAATGAGTTTCTGCTTGTGGCCTGTTATGCTAATGAGTTCCTGCTGGGCGTGGCCAACTCAGGAGCCAGCCGGAACTCCGTTCCTGTGCGTTCCTGCCCAAAAATAGCCCTGCGTCCTCTTTTTGTCTTTTCAAAATATGGCAAACCTACATAATATTCATGAGAACAAAGTCTGAATCCTGTGGCACCTTTAAGACGAACAACGTTTAATTCTGGGTGTAAGCTTTCATGTGCATGCACACTTCTTCGGATACACTGAAAACAGACTTCACCAACCATTACATATGGGGGGGG